AGTAGTAGTAGTAGTAGTAGTACGAGTAGCAGTAGTAGTAATAGCACTACCAGTAGCAGTGGCACTAGCAGTAGCAGTAGCAATAGCAGTAGCCGTCCTAGTAGAATTAATAGTGGTAGTAGTAGTAGTAGCAGAAGTAACAGTAGTGGGCGTAGAAGAAGAAGAAGAAGGGGCAGTAGTAGGAGTGAGAGTAGTAGTAGTAGTAGTAGTAGTAGTAGTAGTAGTAGTAGTCGTGGTCGTAGTCGTAGTCGTAGTAGTAGTAGTAGTAGTAGTAGTAGTAGTAGTAGTAGTAGTCGTAGTAGTCGTAGTAGTAGTAGTAGTAGTAGTAGTATAAGTAGTAGTAGCAGCAGTAGCAGTAGCAGTAGCGGTAGAAGTATGAGTAGTAGTTGTTGTTGTTGTAGTAGGAGTCGTGGTGGTAACGGTGGGAGTAGCGGTAGAAGTCGTAGTCGTTGTCGTTGTCGCAGTGCTTGGGGATATACTAGGGCCTTCTTGGCGATATGTGGAGACATCTTGGGGATATACTAGGGCCTTCTGGGCGATATGTTGGAGGTATCGGAGCCCTTTGCGGGCTCTCCCGGGGCGCTCTTAGGGCCCTCTTGGGGCTCTTTCGGAGGGGTCTGGGAGGTATGTTGGGGCAATCTTTCGGGCGATCGATCACAGGTGGGGCGAGCATTTTTCTCCCCCCCCGTCGGGGCCACGATCCTCGTGAGGGGTGTCGAATTTTAGCCCTCCCATGAGTCGAAAAAGACCCCTCCGACGACCCGCGGAAGGACCTCTCCACGCCCAGGGGGAGGGGGTAGGTTGAGAACAGAGCGGGCTCTCTAAACCACTCACGCCCAAATGGCTGGTGGGATTCCTGCCACTGAGCGAGCGGATTCAGCCGACTTTGGAAGCCCCCAAGAGGTTCCTCCCCCTGATGACGGTCCCGACACGGACACGGGTGCGGAAGATGATGGCCCTGGCGCCAAGCCGCCACAGCAAAGCCCAATGGCAGAGAGCATGGAACCCACCTCCGACGACGACCCGTTGAACGCCTGGGGTGGTGCAGCCACCACTGAGCAGAACGCCAGTGGTTCCAGGGGGCCAGGTCGAGACGAAGCCGCGCGAGACAGAGGCACAGCACAGGACCACCGCCCCAAACTACGCAATCCGCAAGCACCAGACCGCAGGCTGGCCTACTCTGGCGCCGCGGAACGACACGTTCTCAACCAGCTGACCGACGCCCACGGAGGCCCCATGTACAATGCTTGGTTGGGCTCCGTGGACTTGGAGCGCCGCGGAGAGACGCCCGCCAAGCGCATCACCAGACACGGGTGGAGTATTCTGTGCAATTTGGACTGCGTACACAAAAGGCATCCGGATCCCTGGGTCCAAGGATCCCAAGTCAGACCCGAAGATGCACGCGGACGCGAACATCAACAAGTTCCTGGATGACTGGAAGCACTGCGGATACGATGCCTACGCGATGGACAATAAATTTAACTTCTGCATCGACTGGGCAACGGTGCGGGCCGAATACATGCGCCACACCAGGACAGACGGCACGGGCAAGGGCAACCACCAACAGAACAGCTGGTACGACCGGGCAAGGAGCTCCTGGGACGCCTGGGACAACTGGCAGGGTGGCTGGAACTCTGAGTGGCACGACGACCAGTGGCAGTCAGGAGGCAAGCGTGGTGGCGGCAGGCCAGATGACCGTGGCGAGAAGAGGCAACGGTGGGGCGACTGAGCCCCCCCCCCTTTCCCCTAGAGTTTCAGGTGCAGCGTCTGTTTTCCACACTCTGTGCAGCCTTCAGCTGCCTCCCTGGGTTGCGTTTCATACACTCGGGTGGCGGCCTGCCGCCGCCCTCCATGGTACGCGCACTTCCTGCCTTTGGACCCAAGTGTGTTTACCAGCAATACCGTCTGCATGGCATCACGGGGGCGTGCTGCGTGCAGGCCATAGTTGGCCCCTGGCCCTGCTGTAGTTGTTTTCACCTCTGGCCCTGTTGGACTTCGTCCCCCGGCCTCGCGGCTCCGTGACCGACGCCGATGGCGTTGCCTCGTCTCAGTCCAGAGCCGCACTCACCATGCTCCCTGGGTTCTCTAAGGTACTGCGGCCTTCAGCTGCTCTTCAGTTTCATACACACGTGGCGGCCTTCCGCCGCCCTCCCTGGTACACGCACTTCCTGCCTTTGGACCCAAGTGTGTTTAGTAGCAATACCGTCTGCATGACAGCGCTGGGGCGTGTTGCGTGCAGGCCATAGTTGGCCCCTGGCCCCGCTGTAGTTGTTTTCACTTCTGGCCCTTTCGGGATTCGTCCGCCGGCCTCGCGGTTCTGTAACCGACGCAAAGATGGCTTCGCCTCGTCACTGTCCAGTACCGCACTCATGCTCCCTGGGTTTCTCCATGGACAGCGGCCTTCAGCTGCTCCTTCTGCGCTCCCCTGGGAGCGACGGTGGGCGGGTGGCTTCCCGGCAGCGGGTCTTCAACGTAGACCAGACGGTGCACTTCTGGTGCCGTTGAGGTACCCTTCCGGTGACGATGACATGGGGTGCCCACCCGAAAGACTTTGCCGCGCCCGGACGCAGGGGCCAGTTGCGCACCCACCTGCGCGCACCGGCCTCAGTGTGGCAGCGGGTGGTCATTAGATTGATCCCACATCCGTGCAGTGGTTCGCTGTTCCTTTGCTGGCCGCCAGTTACGGTTGCCGGGACTGGCATCATCCCACCGTCGCGCCCCCGCTCCACCCGGACGAGCGGTCTTCCCTGGGCTTCTTCGTGACCGCTGGCTGTTGCTTGGGCTGCAGCTGGTAAGGGGCAGCACCGCTCTTCGAGCGCCTTCGTCTACTCCACTCAGGTACGCCAGGGTACTTTGGTTAGGCGGCTCCGGTTGTGCTGGTCACGTTAGCCTGGTACACGTCCCTGTTCTAATCCGGGTGGCGTCGCTTGCGATTTGTGGCCGGTAGTGGATTGGGACTGTTGTACCTTCCGCACAGCGTTATATCATGTCACTTGATGGTCGCTCGCGTTCGCATCCATTCGCGGCTGTCTCCTGGGCCTGGCGTGCTTGGTTCGGTTTGACACCACGAACTCCACGCCTTTGGGCTGTGTGGGTGCGTACTCTGAAGCTGCGACGGTTCGCTGGCGCTGTCAGAGCCAACCTTACGTACGGGATGCCGACTGACGACTGCTCGTGTCTTTCGGTTGATGCTTGTGCATGGCAGGTCCCCTGGATCCCCTCGCACTTTATTTCCGCCGAGGTTGGGGACTTCCTCCTGTTCAGTTAGTGTCTCAGACCGCATTTGTTCCATAGCCTCTGACACGGTGGGGGTCTTGCATCGCGCCATTTTGGCAGCGTAATTACTTCTCCCTGGGTGCTGGGTCCCCAAAAGACTCCCTGGGCAGCAGCGCCCTTGCACCCGCCGCCCGGCGCCGGCCGCGGCACGCGCGCGCCCCCGGCCAATTTGTAGCGGCCGCAGCCCGGCCGTTACCCGCCGCCGCTGGCGCTTCCGCCCGCGGCTGTAAAAACACAGAAAAAGTATCCCCACCAGCCCATCCAGAACCGATGCCCATGAGAGCTGACGGGGGGAGAGAGGAATAGGCACGCAGAGTCAAACAGCGAGGGAGGACGGCCTGGACGGCGTGTTGAGGCCTCGGAAGGCCATCGAAAACAAAAAGGCGAGAAGGCCAACTTCATTGATGTTCTGTAAGTTTTTGGAGGGTGTTGGCCTCTTGGCGGCCTCATGGGGGGCTCCGTGGCCATATCGAGCAGTCTTGGAACTGTCTTGGAGCATCTTGGAGCATCTTGGGGGCCATCTTGAACCAGCTTGGGCTATCTTGAGCTATCTTGGAGGTCATCTTGGGCTCTCAGAGGCCGCTCGGGGGCCTCCTGGGTGCCTCTCGGGTGCTTTTTGGAGGCCTCTTGGGGCTTTTTGGGGCGCTTTGGGCCCCGTTTGGGAGGCTCTTGGGAGCCCTGGAGGCCCTCTTGGGGCCGCCATCTTGGAGGCGGTCGGTCAAGAGAGGGGGGTACTCGATTTGCGTCCCCCCCCTTGGGGGGCCACGATCCTCGTGATGGGTGGCCAAAAATGGCCCTCCCAATGGCCGAAAAAAAAGCCTCCGACATCTCGCGGTCCCTCCAAAAAACCTCAGGGAGGTGAGGGGGAGGGTTCCCCTCCCCGAAAGGGAAGAGGGGTTGTGGAAGAGGAGAGAGACCCTCGTTAGACCACCTGTCGCCCAAAGGGCTGTGGGCTTATCAGCCGCATTGTCCCCCCTACGGTAGGAATCTGCCCCGCGAAACCCGAAGGGAACAGCACACATCCCCGTCTAAGGGAGTACATCGGTCAGTGGGTTCAACGCCATGCAAGTGGGGATGGGGCTCGGTTAAACGGTGCTCAGGCCTACTTGGCCGCGTCCCCGCCTATCCCTTCTCTTCCTCCCTTCGATTACACTTTAGCTCGCTCGTTCGTTCGGTCGCTACGGCCCAAGAGCCACAGGACAGCCAGCGTCCATTCCAAGGGTGCACACACAAAACAGTTCATGGCATGGAGGCTAAACGTCCGTTTCTCCTCCTCGTCCTCGTCCTCGTCCTCCCGAGGACTCCTGGCGCGTGCGCAGCGACGACCCGTTCTTTGATGCGCGCTTGATCGTGGACACCGCGGCGCACTTGGTGGTCAATTCCTACAACCTGGCCCACAAGGCGGAGGCCAGGCGGGAGCAGATCGCGAAGCAAAGCCCCTTCAAGTTCAAGGTGACCGCGCACGCGGCTCACGCGGCCCGAGCCTTCAGCAAGAGGAGGGTGCAGCTCCCTCAGGACTTCTGTCTGCCGCCTGCCTGTTCGCACGCCAATGAATAAACAAACCTCTCGATGACACACACACACACACACGCACACTGTGTATGTGTGCTTGGGCGTGTGTGTTTGGGTACGTAGTGGCGTTTTCTCTCCCTTTCTCTCTCCCTTTTTCTCTCGCTCTCTCTCTTTCTCTCTCTCTCTCTCTCTCTCTCTCTCTCTCTCTCTATATATATATATACCCGTACGGGCTTCGCCCCCTGCCGCCGGCCCCTTCGCGATCGTACCAAGATATAACAGAGTCGCGTCGGTGCGTCTCGGCGCTGCCTTGGCGCATCTGGGAACAGCATGAGGGAGTATGCATATGTTGATGTAGATGTTTGTGTATATGTTCATGAACGTGCAAGTGTTGGTGTACATGTATATGTGCATGTGGATGCGTGTGTTTATGATTATTCATTTTATATGTTCATTTCTATACGCACATTATATGTATATGTATATATACTTGCAGACATACGCACATGTCTATCTGTTTGCATATGGCTATGTTATAGGTACATGTATTTGTATATAGGTTTATGTATATGTATAGGTGTATATGCATGTGTATCTGTACATGCACGTGTAGATGTATATGGGCACGTATGTTTATTTATATTGTAGTGGCCTTCGGCCAGTGCCGCCGATCCGGGCCGCTCGGTGTTATTCTCCAGACGCAGACATTATGGGCTCACACTCAAACGCACAAACTTCTCGGGTTACCTTCGAAAGGGCGTAGGAATGCAGTTGGGTCAATAGAGCCATCTCGCAACAGTGGTTCTGTCAACGGCGGGATGCTTGCAGTGACCGTGGGGACGGGAAATAATAATGACATGAAAATTCCATACAGGATGCCGATCACTTTGAAAACTCACGATACGTCGTGCACTGAGTCGTGTTACGAAACATGTGGCCTGGACGATGTGGTGCGAGCGGTGGAGGCGAGCCTATCGGCGCAAGGGCGCCCTCTTGGGGCGTTTTTTGAGACATCTTAGGAGCCTGTCAGGGCGTCGTGGGGGCTTCTTGGGTTGGGGGCTTTCGGAGGCCCTCTTGGAGGCTCTTGGGGCCTCCTGGGGGCCTCGTGGGCTGGAAGGCTAGATTTTTTCAGCTTTTCGTCCCTCTTTTGGGTCCTCTTGGGGCCGTCTTGGGGGCCTGTTGGGCCGTCTTGGGCGGCTCTTGGGCCGCCTTGGGGCCCACTTGGGCCGTCTTGGGACTATCTGGGGGCCTCCTGGGCCGTCTTCGAGCGGTCTTGGGGGCCTCTTGGGCCGTCTTGGAGCGTCGGAAAGTAGAAAAAAGCGACAACCCCAAAAACATTGAAAAAACCAATGGGAATCAACGATTTTTGCCTCTGGGGGCCATCGTGGGAGGTCTCTTGGAGGCCTCTTCAGACGTCGTGGAAGGCTCTTGGGCCGTCTTGGGGCCATCTTGGGCGTGTTCGGGCGATCCTTCGGGGTCTCGGGACTTTCGTAGACCGTCCTCAGACACTTTTGCGGCCGCGGCCACCCTTCCAGCGCATCCTCGAGATTAGAGCCTTTGTAAAAGCAGCGCCCCGCATCCGCCGGAAACTCGCACCCCCCCCCCCCCCCCTCCCCCGGCAGAGCCACCCCGGCAACCCCCCCAGAGGCTGAGGCTCAGCCTCGAGGCTGTAGCTGAGACTCCTTGAAACTCACGCGCCGGTATGGGCACGTATGTTTATTTATATTTGTCTTTTGTCTTTTCGTTTTTACCTAACAGCGAAGACTGATAGGTTTCTAGTAGGGTCAAAAGAGAGCATCATGACTCCCCAGGGGGGTCTGGGCGGGATCCGGACGGGAGTCCGGGGACTCCCCAGGGACTCCTTTTTCAGCCAACAGTAACGCACTTCGTGGTCTTCGAGTTCCCAGAACTCCATTTCTGGGCATGATTTTGAATGCCCAGAGCCAACTCTAGGCCACTTCGTGTTCTTCGAGTTCCCAGAACTCCATTCCTGGGCATGATTTTGAATGCCCTGAGCCAACTGTAGGCCTCTTCGTGGTCTTCCAGTTCCCAGAACTCCGTTCCTGGGCATGATTTTGAATGCCCGGAGCCAACTGTAGGCCACTTCGTGGTCTTCCAGTTCCCAGAACTCCATTCCTGGGCATGATTTCGAATGCCCGGAGCCAACTGTAGGCCACTTCGTGTTCTTCGAGTTCCCAGAACTCCATTCCCGGGCCACATTTTGAATGCTGAGGCAGGCTGATGCTGAGGCTGAGGCAGGCTGAGGCTGAGGCAGGCTGAGGCTGAGGCTGAGGCAGGCTGAGAGGCAGGCTGATGCTGAGGCTGAGGCTGAGGCTGAGGCTGAGGCTGAGGCTGAGGCTGAGGCAGGCTGAGGCTGAGGCTGAGGCTGATGCAGGCTGAGGCTGCAGGCTGAGGCTGAGGCCGAGGCTGCAGGCTGAGGCTGAGGCTGAGGCTGAGGCAGGCTGAGGCTGAGGCTGAGGCAGGCTGAGGCTGAGGCAGGCTGAGGCTGAGGCAGGCTGAGGCTGAGGCTGGCAGGCTGAGGCTGAGGCTGAGGCTGAGGCTGCAGGCTGAGGCTGAGGCTGAGGCAGGCTGAGGCTGAGGCTGAGGCTGAGGCTGAGGCTGAGGCTGCCGCAGGCTGCAGGCTGAGGCCGAGGCTGAAGGCAGACTGAGGCTGAGGCTGAAGCAGGCTGAGGCTGAGGCTGAGGCTGAGGCTGAGGCTGAGGCAGGCTGAGGCTGAGGCTGAGGCTGAGGCTGAGGCAGGCTGAGGCTGAGGCCGAGGCTGAAGGCAGACTGAGGCTGAGGCTGAAGCAGGCTGAGGCTGAGGCAGGCTGAGGCTGAGGCTGAGGCTGAGGCTGAGGCTGAGGCAGGCTGAGGCTGAGCAGGCTGATGCTGAGGCAGGCTGAGGCTGAGGCTGAGGCTGATGCAGGCTGAGGCTGAGGAGGCTGAGGCTGAGGCTGAGGCTGAGGCAGGCTGCAGGCTGGCTGAGGCAGGCTGAGGCTGAGGCTGAGGCTGAGGCAGGCTGAGGCCGAGGCTGACTGATGCTGAGGCTGAAGCTGAGGCTGAGGCTGAGGCAGGCTGAGGCTGAGGCAGGCTGAGGCTGATGCTGAGGCAGGCTGAGGCTGAGGCTGTGACTGCGACTGCCGTTGCCACTGCGACTGTCATCGCGAATGCGACTACGACTGCGAGAACAGCAGAATTCCACAACTGGATTCTCATCTGAATCTTAAGGGGAATGCTCTCAGATATGCTCCTACACATCGCTGTTAGTTTGCTTTGCCGGGATATTTTTTACACATTCAGATGACACCAGAGAAAAACCCGAATCATAATCCTTTTAGGGCTATAGGGCTATGGGGCTATATGGCTATAGGGCTATGAGGCTCTGGGGATACAGGGCGATAGGGCTATAGGGCTATATGGGGTATAGGGCTATATGGCTATAGGGCTGTAGGGCTATAGGGCTATTAGGGCTATAGGGCTATAGGGCTATACGGCCATACGGCTTTGTGGCTATAGGGCTATAGGGCTATAGGGCTGTAGGGCTATAGGGCTATTTGGGCTATAGGGCTATAGGGCTATAGGGCGATAGGGCTATAAGGCTATAGGGCCATAGGGCTATGGGGCTACCAGGCACCCAGGCACCTGGGCACACGGGCACCCAGGCACCCAGGCATCCAGGCACCCAGGTGCCGCACCCGGGCACCCAGGCACCCGGGCACCTGGGCACCCGGGCACCCAGGCGTCCGGGCACCCGGGCACCCGGGCACCCGGGCATCCGGCCACTCAGGCACCCTGGCACCAGGGCACCCGGGCGGGCACCCGGGCACCCGGGCGTGCCGCCGAAATCGACGCCCCATTTTTTCAGTAATATGATACCGGAGAAAAGCCCAATCAGAATTTCTTTCGATATCACGTGAGATCCTTTTGCAATTTCTCCTCAGGTTTATGAAGTCTGCGAGGGCTATGAAGGCCATGAGGGCTAGGGCTATAGGGCTATAGGGCTGCATGGCTATAGGGCTGTAGGGCTATAGGGCTATAGCGCTACAGGTCTATAAGTCTGTGGGGCTATAGGGCTATAGGGCTATATGGCTCTTGGACTATAGGGCTATAGGGCTATATGGCTATAGGGCTATAGGGCTAGGGGCTAGAAGGCCATAGGGCTCTAGGGCTGTCGTGCTGTAGGGCTGTAGGGGTACAGGGCTACAGGGCTGTAGGGCTCTAGGGCTTTACGGGCTATTGGGCTATTGGACTATAAGGCTATAGGTCTATGAGGCTATAGGGCTATAGAGCTATGGGGCTAAAGGGCTATAGGGCTATAGGGCTATAGGGCTATAGGGCTATATGGCTGTAGGGCTATATGGCTATAGGGCTATAGGGCTACAGGGCGATAGGGCTATAGGGCGATAGAGCACCCGGGCACCCGGGCACCCGGGCACCCCGGGGCACCTTTGGGCAGCCCCGGCCACCTCCGGGCGCCCGGGCGGGCACCCAGACACCCAGGCCGGCCACCGACATCGGCGACGCACCTCATCTAATCATATGAATCCGCTTGGACCCCTACAAAAGCAAGCTCCGATTGGGAAATGAATGTGCTAGGACCCCGACAGAGGCAATATTTTAATTGGGAATCTGTATATATATATACACATGCATACATGTATATGTATAATTATGCATCTGTATATGCATCTGCATATTGTACACGTCTACGTGCATGTATGTATATATGTATATATAGGGATATGTATATGTGTATGTAGGTGTACGTGTATATGTATGTGTATGTGCATAGCGATATGTGTAGGTGTAGGCATTTCCATATGTTTATGTGCATGTATATATGTACACGCATGTGTATATGCATATCGTTATATAATTATGTGTAATGGTCTTTGTATACGTCTTTATTTGTACATGTATATGTTTTAATCCATGCGTATATATACCTACATGTAGATGTTCATGCGTACGTATATATATAGGCCTAGGTTAATGTATCTGCACATGTAT